GGGGATCCCCCTCCTCCCCTGGCGGACGTAGGACAGGGACCTGCTCTTGCCAGGTGACCCCGAGAGTCCTCCCACCTGCGTATTCGTGTCCCGCCATGGCAGTCCTGCTGGGATCCTCCTGGTGACGGSACGCTCACTGCCCGCCAAGGCAGTCCCCCCACGGCACGTCACAGCTCCGCCTGGGACCTGGGTTTTAATGCAGCAYTGAGCTCTGGTCATCGGCACGGGACAGAATCTGGGACCTGGGGGGACCCAGTGTCCATTTGCTGATTGTTTTGATCACGAACCTCGGGGTCAACTGGGAGATAAGCTGGTGTGTCCTCAGCCACCTGAGACCACGCTACCCTGGCCCATCACAGGTGAGACCCCATAAACGTGTGCCAGCGAGGTCTCGGCACACGACTGGACTTCAACGTTTCTTTTCTTGTCCGTAAAATGGCGATATGAGAGTGTGTGGGATTCTCTGACCCAGGCCAGCCCAACAGAAGCACCCAAATACCACCAGCTCTGCCCGGGATGCTGTGCAGCCTCGACGGAGGGTTCAACCTCTCTGAGCCTCAGTTTTGTCCTTTGTAAAATGGGGATGACAGAAGCACCCAACTCAAGGGACTGTGCCAGGATCAAGGAGATAGTGCCCGCGAGGGTGTCAGTGTGGTGCTGCCCGCAGGGGGTCTTCAGAGCCTAATGTTTATCAAGCAGCTACTCTGTACTTCCTCCTGCTGAGAAGTGCCGGCACTCTGTCCCCCAGCGGCTCCGGGTCCTCTGACTCTAAGGCTCACATGTGGGAGAGTGAGCCTGGGGTCACAGCTGTCCCCCTCCTGGTGCCAAGCTGCCTGCCCTCTCTGAGTCTTAGGCAGGTGGCGATGAGGGCTGGCCAGGCTCCCATTAGCTGCAGCTCAAGCAGCTCCTTACCGTCACGGGACGAGGCCAAGTGTCCCCATCCTGGGTAGCGGGACGTGCCTGACCAGAGCTCTGGCTTCTCCCTGGACGGGTGACTCAGTTTACCCATCTGTGCCCTGGGAAGAGCCACAGAGCTGCCTCCACTCGTATGAAAGAGCCTCGTAATCCGTGGGCACCTCCTCACTCCACAGGGCCCCTCTCACGGGCCCTCGGAGACACCAAGAGGGTGTCTGCCTCACATAGTGACAGGACTGGGACTTAAACCTTGGACACTTGATCAACCATCTGGAGACACAGGCTTCTTGGAAGGGTGTCTTCTGGCAAGTGGCAGGATCCTGACACCTGGMCATATTTTTAATCTGAGAGGTCTCGTCCCTGCCTACAACCTTCCATGGCTCCCCAGCACCTCGCAGATCAGCCCCAGGGCATCAAGCTCTCCTCTGCTCGGTGCAGCCTGCTGGCTGGATTTCACGTCCCGGAACCTGGCGGCCCAGGCCTCCTGTTCTGTCCACACCACCCACCTCTCTTCCAGGGCTACAACCTCCTCCTGTCACCCCTGCAGGCTCAGCTCGAGGTGTGTCTTCCAAGAGCTTGTGAAGCTCCTGACACGCGCACGTGCACACACGATCACATACCTGTGTTCAGCCTCCTCACAGCCACAGCCTCGCTCAGGCCTGCAGCGCGTCCCTGTCCCCTTGGTGCGCGGGTGCCAATCCGTGAGGTCGGCGTGGCCCAGAGCGGTGGAGAGAGGCTGGAGCCACTGGTGGCTTCTACTGTCACAGACCTTGTGGGCTCACCACCTGGACCACCGCAGTGCACACATGGTCTTCTCTGGGGCTCCCCGCAACCCGGGAAAGTCCGGGCTATTATTATCTCCATTTCTTAGGTAAGAGAACTGAGTGAAGGCCAKGCCAGCCCTCGCCCTCCAGCTCTGGGGGAGGAAGTGGTAGAGTCGAGATCAGAACCACAGGCCTGGCAMCTTGGTGCCTCACACATTTGCTTTTCACAACCACCTGGGAGGTTGATAACTTTGGTTGTCCATGCTGCCTATGGTTAAAGGACGCGGAGCACAGAGAGGTTAAGTAACGTGCCCAGGGTCACASAGTTCATAGATGACAGAGCTGGGATTTGAACTCAGGCAGTGTGGGCAGCCCTAACCATTATACCACCCAACCTCCTATTGACATGGACCCCTTGGCCCTTCATCTAAYGTGCTCTTCGTCTGTAAAATGTCCTCTGATCCTAGATGGAGGAATGGCCCTTTCCCCCASCCCACCCCCATGTCTCTTGGATGGGAAGGTGCCCACCTCCCCACCCCCCACCAGGCCTGTCCAGGCTGGGCTGTCCCCTGGAGCTGGACATCAGCCTCCCCACTGGCAGAGAGGCACCTGGCTGGACTGTCCTCTGGATGGTGCCCTTCAGGACAGCAGGGACCCTCGAGTAACAGGGGCTGGGGGCTGGGGGCTGGGTGGCCAGGGAGGAGCAGGCGGGAGGRCCTTGGAGGGGCAGCTTGGGAGCGAGTCCTGTCAGGCGGGGGGAGGGACGGGATGTGGTGTCCCTGCTCCTGTCCACGGGAGCCCACTCTCCCACCGGCGCCTCCCAGGCTCCATGCTGGGTCCTCGTCCAGACTCCACTCAGGCCAGAGGATGCTTGGGGCCCAGGGGACCGGGCACGCGACGGTCCTGCCCCTTCCTCTCGGGGGCATCGACCCACATCTCCCGCACACTTTGGGGGAAAACAGGAAACGGGGCGGATGTGGGCCCCGGGTCTGAGGGTGTAGCTTCTCCTTTCAGGGTGGCGGTCACAGCCTGGGGGGGGGCCTTGCTCGCCCTGCGTCCAGGCTCTGGCTGCAGCAGGAGCCAGCCTGGGGTCMAGTCTCCACTGGGATCCAGCCAGGCCCAGCCCTGCCCAGAACCTCGACTCCTGCTTGACCCCAGCGGGTTCCCTTTCCCAACCCTCCTCGGGGCTCTGCGTGGGGCCCAGCCACGTCTGCCACACAGGGGTCCCCGTCTGGACTGTGCACCTGGGTGGGCGGAGCCTGCAGCCCTGACCCAGCCCTGTCCCAAGACAGCCCCAGGCTCCCCGAACTGTTGGACCACTCCTGGGGTTTCCAAGTGCAGGGGAGCGGGAGACCTGGGGGCAGAGGAGGGCAGTGGGCACGCCAAATCCAGGGGGGCTCCCTGGAGGAGGTCCTTCCAGCCGCGCTGCTCATTTTCCACACTTTGATCTTGGGGCAGAGACTCCTGGCTGGGGACCATCCTGGCCCCTGCTGCTCTGTGCCACCACTGATCACCACTGTTTAGAAATGCGATTCCTAGATGCAGAGAAAGCAGTGACACATTGTTCTGGTTCTGCTTTAACTGTGGTCAAACACGCACAACATCCTGACTGAGCGCAGAGTGCAGGGCGTTAAGCACAGTCACACTGTGTGGCCGTCCCCAGGGCTCTCACCCTCGAGCTGAAGCTCCCAGCCCTCCCAGCCCCTGCCACCCACCCTCCTACTCCCCCTCTGTGGCTCCTAGGGCCTCCTAGGACCTCCTGGGAGTGGATCTTGTTGTGTCCTCGGGAGGCCGGCTCATCCCACTGGGCATCCCGTCCCCAGGCCCATGGTGGCATGAAGATGAAGTTTGACACCACACATGTGCCGGCCGCTTTCAGGTGGTGGAGGCGGGTGGGCCTGGTGGCAGCTGGCTSCGACCCTCGCTGCTGGAGCCTGGTTCAGGAGGTGGCTTGAGTGACGTTCAGGGAGTCAGGGAGGAGCAGAGCTTCTGTGCCTTTAGTTTCAAATGCTTCTGCCACTGTGGGTCCCCCTAGGGAGCCCCAGCCTTCATGCCTCCCCTGGGGAGGTCCATGCAAAGCCTGAGGCCCACGGCCTCCCCAGCCCTGGATGCCTGGCTCAGCAGCCTCTGCACCCCGCCCCAACACCCGAGTGCTGGTCAGCTACCCTGTGGGCCAGGGACTTAGCCTCTTGAGGGACACAGGGGGAAACTGGGAATTCTGAAGTAGGGTGAGCCCAGTGAGGTCTGCCAGGATTCGGCCGTGCAAGGAATGCGGGGTGTGGGCCCCCCAACACACAGGCACACACCAAAGAGTCACAGACACCCAGCACACAGGCACCACACAGTAAAAGGACAAACGGACACTACACACTTGTACACAAGATACAGACACACAAACACAACACAATCCAACGGAACACAATAAGACCACACACACACAGATATAACCCACAGACATCTACACAACACACACAAAGAGACCACACAGCACAAACACAGATACAGTAGACATACACAGTGTGTGCACAGACACACAGACAAACAGAAACACAGACACAATACAGCCCAACCACACACACATCACAAAGAACACACGGAAGCCACCCATGGACACATGCGACATATATACAAAATACAGCCAAACTACAGACCACATGAGATACAACACAGTACAACCGCTGACACACAGGCACACACACAACACACAGCATGAGCCCAGAGATGTAGACCCACACAATCAAACTGTAGGTAGCACACCGAGCGGGATACAGACACACAACAGGACCATGCACATAAACACACACACACATATATGCACAGAAACACATAAACGAAAAGTAGGGACATACAGAGACACACAACCCAGATGTGCAACATACACCCCCACACACACACCCGCATACCGGCACGGCAGGAGGTGGTGGAGACGCAGGCGAGCGCCCTCTGCTGGTCTTCTGAGCTGGTCGTGGAGGAAGCCACGCCCCCTCCCCTTGCTCTCCTCCAGCCTGCAGGCCTCGGTTTCCCCCGGGGGCTCGCTCCTCCTCTTCTCCACCCTCAGCATCACCCTCCACCTGCTGACCCCCACATCACTGTCTTCAGCCCAGGCCTCTCTCCTGAGCCTCTTTGTTCATCCTTTCCTACCCTCCCCCTCCCCCTATTCACCCAGCGGGTTTCCTGCTGCAGCCTGGCGCCSCCCTGGGCAGAGCAGCACGTGGACCTGTCATTCCATCAGGGCTGCAGACCGATGTCTGATGGTGACAAGAGTCCTAAAGCAGATCAAAGGTGACATAGGAGCTGGCTCAGCAGGCTGGTCAGCAAAGCCCTCTGCGTGGGCCACATCTGAGCAGGGACCCCTGAGCTGTRTGCAGGAACCAGCCTGTGGAGGTGGGGGAGGGGTCCCTGCAGAGGAACAGCCACC